TGAGACAACAGCAATGGTCGAATGACTTCACAGGTGTGTGGTAAGGGAAGAAGGGAGGGAGTACATTGGACTGGAGGAGGGAGGGATGCAGGAGCAGATGCATGGAGTGCCAGCTGTCTACTGTGGCCTTGTTCACCTCCTGCTCCACCTTCAGTGGCCTTCCTTCCTCAGGTGAACAAAGATAGAGCAGAAGAAGGACGTAGGAGCCTGGAACTTCTTGTTCGTACCTGCTTCTCACCTCTGCTTCAGAGCACTAGGCTGTGTCTCCATGTACCTAAGGAGAGGTGTCACTATTATGTCACCGGAATCACAAGGAGCCCACTTCTGCCCCACTTTTCTATCTCCTCCATGACTGTACAAGCAGCTGCTTCCTGGAGGGCCTGTTGGCCAGTGAGGCTGTGCTAAGGAGAGGCCCGGGGAAGAGGCATGTCCTCTACATGGCTGTGACGCTGGAGCTCCCACCCCACCTGGACCTGCCTGTGGTGCACTAGGTCTGGGTCCTTCCCCGGGGTCCTCTATATGGGCTTCCTAAGCAGTGGAAGAAAGGGAAGAAACAAAGACACAAGTGGGGCACTCTATAGGCTCACCCAGCCCCGGAGACGATGCCATAGCTGGGCCAGCAGTAAGAAAGGAGAGCCTCCATAACCTCTCTGAATTTTGAAGTTCAGTGCTTCTCCCCAGGTGGATGCCACCTTGTCTGCCTCAGTTTCCTCATCTGTAAGGCAGTAATCCTGCCCGCCTGGTGGGTGATGGGAGCATGTGTGGCTATTCCTGCTCCCTCGGAGCATGAGCCTGTCCACTCCACTGGTCCACTCCTATTCTGCAAGCAGGTGTGGGGAGAAAACACATCTCCGGTCCGGGGCAGAATAAAAGGGATCAATGACAATGGGAGTGAGGGAGGTAAGGAGGACCAGGGCGACTCAGGAGGTGGTGGAAGGGGCGGGGAAGGCTGGGAGACTTCTTGAAGGGCAGGGACCTATAAAAAGGATCCAAAGGACTAATCCAAGAGTGTGTTTTGTCTGGGGGTGTGGGGGGTGCTGAGCCCAGTGGCACAGGACAGGTTAAGGCAGTCATTTGGCTTTGCCGTCCCTGTATCCATGCTGGACTGCCACCAACTGTTTGGGTTTCCAGCTGCTCCTGTCAAGGCCAAGTCTGATCTTGTCATCAAGACTTTTCCCAGAGCCTCCACAGCAGTACAGGTGAGGGGGGTCAGGTGCTTCGGAGAGTGTGAGCCCTGGATCAGAAAAAACACCTAAGAGTGCCAGGAAAAAAAATGGAAAGTGCTGTCCATTTCAGGAGAATGCTCCTTATAGCTCTGCTCGGGACCAGAAAAGGCAAGGGTCCCAACACCGTGTTGTCCATCAGATTCAGGTACCCCCGTGCACTTCCTCAGGGTGTGTCCCACTCCCAGCCACAGACCTCATCGTAAGTCAGTCACTTCAATTCCTGAAGCAACCACTGGTTTTCAGATGGACTCAGGGGCTTTGGGGAAAGCCTTCTCCTGATGTACTGCTCCCCTTTCCTCCAAACTGTAGCCATAAAGGAAAAAACCACCCTCACCCTCCTTCCCCCACAGCAAACCAGTCTTTGAATCGTCCTCCACAGCTCCACAGACGAGATCTGGTTTCTTCTTTTTTAATGATCCTGAAGGTGATAACAACTTAGATTACAGATGTTAGATTGAAAAAAGAAGTGTCATGGAGATTCCAGCTCTGTTCTAGCACGGGAGAGGCCCGTTGTGGGTCACAATTTCGGCTTAAGGTGCCTACTGTGGGAAGGTGACAAGCTGGCATCAGGAATCCCTTACACAAGCTCCAAGACATCAGCCACACCCTGAGCAAATACAGAGGAAGCATCCACAGCCTCTGCAGACTGTGTCCAGCACTCCCGACTTCCACCATTTTCATCAACAGGTTTGGAAAAGGGGCACACAAACTGTCCTGTCTGTCAGACAAGCAGGGCAGGGTACAGACAAGGGTCTGGGGCTTCTAGAGCTGAGAACTAAGCAATTAAATCTCTTCTCAAGAGCTCCAAGTGGCATGGACATTGACAGAAGCAACTGGGGCAGCACAGACACCAGAACTGGATAAAGGACGTAACTGCATCTGCCCTTTGCAGAGCTGGCTGCACTGGTTATTCTGACAGTCACTGTGCCCGGGATCCCCACAGAGCTAAGGCAAGATTCAATGTAAGATTCCTCCAAAGCCTTTCGTGAAGTAATTATATATGTTTTTAAAATCCATTTCACAGAGGGAGCTAACAACTGCATCTGAGATGTGTTCATTAGCAGACACCCAGTGCAGGGGCTCCTGCTGCAGCCTGAGACTTGGGTACAAAGTTGACGTACACTCTAGAAATCGTTCAAGGTTAGATTAAAAATAAGAACGCCCAGGAAGATTACCCTGACTCATTAATATCACTGTCCAGTAGGAGACAATTCCTTGGAGGGTATGCCCCGGGGCTGGGTTTTGTTCTAGGCCTAAGAACACCTTAATTTGCATTTATATTTTAAAAAGAAGAAAACAGAATTAACTGGAAAGGTGCTTTGTTTCCTGTAAATGTGAGCTCTTCTGCTAAACAGATTCTCAGGCTAGAACGCATGAGGCTCAAGCAGCCAATGGCTAGGCTCGGTGACTGCGCACCTACTAAGTGCCACACTCTGCCTGACAGCTGTGGGCATGTGGATCCCCCTCAGCCCTTCGGAATCAGCCTATCAGGAGAGCATTTCACAGTGGCTCTTCTACAGGTGGGAAAACTGAGGCTGAGGTTGGGAGTGAGGAAATGATGTTGCTTTGGTCTTACTGTGGCAGGATTCAGATTCTAAGGCAGAGCTGTGACTCCAAGTCCAGTATCTTTCCATAGGCAGGAGGCTATGTTAGAGCAGTCATGTGGGCATGTCTGTGGATGTGTGTGTGCATTCCAACCTTTCTGTTCAGAAAACCAGCTGAAAACCCGATTAAAAGAAGTGAGAAAAATCAGCATATCTCTCAATGTCCCCTGGTCCTGCGTTGATGTAAGTCCACCACCCTGGGGCTAACATCACATCCTCACTTAGCCTCCCTTCCTTTGACGTGTTTTCTCGGGAGTCTGAGGCATTAGAAGCATATGTCCAGAATTGCTGATCAGAATCAAGAATAGAAACACACCTCAATAACCACTTCATCTGTCTCCATGATTTATTTTTTAAGGAAAACTGGAACATTTCAGGATTTGCTTTTAACTCCAGCCCTCTGCTCGATGTGGCAGCTCACCTCTTGGGACCAGCCAAACACGTTATGTGCAGGTTTTACTACTGGGAGCCAGCATGCTAGCCAACTTCACCTGTTTCTGGTCTAGATCACAAAAGCCACCTTTACAGGAATGAGGGTTTTCTCCCGTCCCTTGAGGGCTGGCATCACAGGCACAGTTCTTGCTTGCCAGCTGTCCAGCAAACAGGCTCCTGTCCCCCAGAATCAATGACTTGCACATTTTCATGCCACGACTACAGTTAAAAGAAGCAATGGCAGTGACCACCTGGCCCCCTCGAACGCTGGAAACACGGCAAGGAGGGAAGGACGCTTCCATGTTTAGGTGCTGGGCAGAGGGTGTGGGGCCAGTGGGGCCAAAGCTGCTTATATAATGACAGAAGGACAGTTTCCTTCCTTGAACATGAAAACATGCACCAATGAATTAAACATTTAAAACAAGATGACTCTCTAAAAAGTCTTTTCAATCAAGGAGAGACAGGCCGTCCTGTGCTGGCGCTTCCTGTTGCATATGGCACTGAGAACTCTGTTTTTCAGCATGCAGAGCTTTCCAGACAAAGAAAATATCAAGGAAAAATTAGAGGAGGAGGTCCAGGGAAGTCAGACAAGGGGCCTGAGAGACGGGCAGGGGGAAGGAGACCTGTGCTTGGGCTAGAGGGGCAGAAACAACTGCCCGGGTGCAGGAAGGAGATCACCCCTGAGCCAACATGCTGGCCCTGACAGGTCCAAAGAGAAGGTTCTGGAGAGGCAGTAGGCCATGCTGGGGCAAGGGGCAAACCACAGAGACATCACCCAGCCTCCTGCCAGCAGGGCAGGCACCACATCCACTGGGATCAAGGGACCTGCCCAAATTCCCACAGGTCTCAAAGCCTGATGTCTGTGAGGTCTTCCAAACCTCTGCCTCACGGGACACAGCCCTAGGAACCCTCAGAGACCTCACTCTGTGAACAGTGCACTGGGGGTAGGATCTACAGGTGACCAGCACCAAGGTGCACCAACTGGACCCTCTCCCCAGAGAGGGCTAAACTTCCCACTTTCTGCCAGTATGTGCAGCTGCTTTCCCTCAAGTCGGAGCATGGAGTGGCGACCTGCATCTATCCCAGAGCAGCTCACCCGCTGCCACCCCACCCCCAAGATCGGGAGAGAAAATTCTCCTCCCAAGGGCCTAACATATGCATGCTCCAGAACTCAAAGAAAAGGAGCCAAGAGAAATGACTGCCTAAATCTGGGCTCAGACGATGCCGAAGAGGGCCCAGAGACTGGCAAGGGTCAGTGCCTCTCCCACCACCGGCACCAGGAGTAGGCTCCCGCCACCTGAGTCCACCTGAACCCCTCAGGTGTCGGGCCAGCCCTCTGCAATTCCCCGCGAGTTAGTAAGTGTGAGGCTTGAACCCCACATGGCGCCGGCAGCGCCTGACTGGGCGGTGGGTGAGTGGGTGCCTACTGTGAAATTATTCTTAGTGCTCCGATGTCTTCGCAAAAGTGATGCCTCCGCCCTCGCCCTCAGGGCTCCAGGCTCACTAGGTGGCCTAGACACCCGCGCTGGGAGAGCCCCGGGTGGGGTCCCTACCCATGAGGCATAGAAATGCCAGAAAGGTGCAGACTCCCCAGAAACAGTGGGCGCTGCGGGAGGGCCCCCAAGAGCGGCTTCGTTTACCCCGGGGCGCCCTGCACCCAGCCCTGCGCAGCGCTGCGCGCGCTCGGCTGCCTCCGGGTACCTCTCGGGGCGCCGCCTGCGGCGCACCCAGCCCTTACCTATGGTGGTGATGACCGTGATCGCAAAGTAGAAGGAGCCGGCGAATTTCCACTGGACGCCGGCGCGGTGCGGTTCCGACTGCAGGATCACCAGCTCCAGCTGCCGGTAGTCGTCTGTGCTGATGTTATACTTGCCCCTGATGCGGATCTCCTCCGCCTTGAGTTTCTCCTCTTCGCGCATCTCGTGGTCCGACTCGAGGGCGTCGAACACCGCGGCGCCCACCAGCAGGTAGGTAAAGGTGCAGGCGATGAGGGACAGAGTCCGCACGTTCTGCTTCTTCATGGCGGCCAGCAAGGCGCTGGCGCGGGGAGCATGTCCCGCAGGCTGGCAGCCGCGCGCGTCCCACTGCAGCGCCCCGCGGCCGCCACCTCCAAGTTGAAAGCCGCGGCAACAGAAGAAGCAGCAATCGGGAAGCAGAGGACGGGCCGGCGGTGGAGGGGCCCCTGCGGTGGGGCCACCACCACCGGGAGGCGCCTGGCGAGCCAGGGGTGGCGCGGGCCCGGGCTCAGCGGAGAAGGCGGGCAGGCACAGGAGGCTGCTCGAGCGCCGGGGCCAGGTGTCCTGGAACCCCGACACCCTGCGCCAGGTCCGGTTGAAGCAGCCCGCCCCGCTGTGCACGGCCATGCCCGGCGGCCCAGCGGAGCCCAGCGAGGGCTGCGTTGCCCTCCGCACCCCGCCCCTCGCTCCTGCCCGAAGGGCAGGAGCGGGAGCCGGTGCCGGAGACAGGGTGGAGGGCGGTCGGGGTGAAGGGGCCCCGCGCCCCTCTCCGTTGGGATCCAGTGGTAAGCCTTAAGGGTCCGCTCACACCCTGCGGGACCTCCTTCTCCTCTCACCCCCTCTCGCCCCCTTCGGTTGGGGGCGGAAAAGTTTGCTAAGTGGTGGCGCCTCTGGAGTCCCTGGCAAGGGAGCTAAGCAGGTGCCACGGGAGAAGCGGCCCGATGCCCTAAAGTCCGAACGCCCTGCGCCCACCTGGGCGCGCGGGGGCACCGCGAGGTACCCGCCGCGCGTCGGCCGGTCTGCGAAGTTTGCTCCGCTCAGCTTCCGAGGCGCAGGAAC